TACCTAAGCAAAGACAACCTGCATCGAAGTCAAGTGGGCCTTCAAAAATCCGTACACAAAAACCATACAGATACATGTTTTTCTTAGGAATTTTAATTGACTACTTTTATCTAATTCTGTTTCAGCAGGTACAGTTAGGATTATTGTTGGCTCCACCCTTGCTGTCTTTCTATGTGCCTCTGCATGTTTGATTTTGTTGTATCTGAAAAGAAAACGGTGAGTATAAATTTAGATAACGAATCTCCTATTTTTACGCTGTTCAAGTCTCTTGAACTTGAATTAACTTAAAGTTGTTTTCCTTATTGTCACCTTGCTACATGTCGAAAGGTGTATTCATATAGAATAATTTATAAATAACTTAATAAGGTAAGAAGGCTTTGTTTAGATGTTATTTTTTATCAAAGATTACAAAATTAATCACGAAAGAGTACTTTCGCGTTGTAGGTAAGAAAATAAATATTGCGATACTTGACTTACACTACATGTATTTACACATGTATTCTGATGATTACTTGACAATCTTATAGATGTTAAAATCCGTTTTGTTTGTTTGTTTTTTTAAAGAAACACAAGGCTTGTTTTATGTTGATACTAGAGTATATTATATATTTGAATGATTGTACATTATGTTTTAATTTTTTTTTCTTCAGCAAATTGCGGACACCAACTGTAAAGTTTACAAATAAAGCATGCGAAGAAAAAAGCAATATTGGTGATACAAACGATCTGAAGAAAAACGCTAATTACATCAACAACACTTCGGAAATTTGTTCTCGGACAATAGCCAAGTCCGACCATGACGATATTTATGTTGAAAATGCTGAAGGCGAGTACGACATCTTACACAGTTCTCGTCAGAAAAAGTCCTCTGATGACAATCCTCAGTATGACAGCACGATAGGATGGGAGAATGTCTATTCTTCTACAACACAGAATAATGCAAACCATGGAAATTGGGATGAAAGTGATTACAACACTATGAATGGCACACAGGAAAGGAATTTGTCTGCATGCCCAAACAAAATTTACTAGATTTAACTATAGTGAAAATTGTGATATTTTGAATTACTATTAACCTTACTCTGGAACTTTTTTTCAGATTTCAAGCATTTAAACTCCTACATGTAAATTTAATGTACATGAAACAGTGGTGTAAAATTTAGATATAAAACATATGTAATACTTCTAATTAATACAAAAAAAATGTGCATGCAGGAATTTTAGAAAATAAAATAAAACAATTTGAAACCTATAGTAAAAATACTTTGATCAATGATAGTAAAAAATATAAGATATATTAGAGTAAAAATAATGATACCATAGTTAGCATCCGCAAGTCTTGTCACGTCAAATCTGTTTAAATTATATAAGCATGAAAATCAAATTACTACATTTTTTCCATACATTTATGATATGTATTTTTAAACACTATAATCAAGTAAGCAAAAAACCTGCGTTTTTCGTGTAAAATATCAAAGAAAAAAGCCAGGAAAACTTGGGCAAGAAAAATTTAAGATTATGTTTTGAACTTCAATTGCACACACAAAAAAAGAGTTGGCGCAATAATATGCCTTTTTACTTGTGATGCATTGTGGTAGTGGAAGTTAAATTATCTATAAAAACAATTAAATGTGCCATATCGAAGTATTTGTTACAAACAAACTTGATTTATTAAGATATAATCATTCGAAGTATTTGCTATTCATTCGAAACCAACTACTTAGAAAGACAAAAAACAAAAAAGCAAAAGTACTACTTTTTAACAGTCTATTATTAGAAACAACGTATGACTAGACAACCAAAATGTTATATTTTCTTTTTCTATTCGGTGTATGCTTTAAGACAGTATATATAAATACATGTGGTAAATATCAAATATAAAAATTGACTTGTGGATGCTTCTATATTTGACTATTGCAAACTAAAGTTGACTATTATATAGCATTTTTTCGTTAGAATGCATGTGGATAGCTCTGTTAATGACACCTGTAATCGCTTTGTGGCTGAGGATGAGAACTCAAAATCCTAAATGCTTAAGAAGGGATTGTAAACACATGTCCTTTGTGAAGCAAGAAAAAATCACTCTGTCAATAATTCACAATGATTTATTTCGAAAAGGGTTTAATCCCCATCACCCACAAAACACTTAGATTTTGAAAATAATTCCTAATATATTTGTAGCCCCATCACCAAAATTCTTCTATTTCTACTCTCCGTACTAGACAATGGTAAATATCAGATATAAAAATTGACTTGTAGATGATACTATATTTGACTAAAGTTAATTAATTATAATGTTTTTTCTTTAGAATGCATGTGGATAGCTCTGATAATGACACCTGTAATAACTTTGTGGCTGAGGATGGGAACTCAAAATCCTAAATGCATTGTAAACACATGTGAAATAAAGAATCACTGTCTTTCGAAAAGGGTTTAATCCCCATCACCCACATCCCCCACCACCAAAATTACTAGCAACAAAATTGTAGTAAAGAAATTGCGTACAAATCTGGAAATAGAATTTGGTAATGAGTGTAATATAAACTGTGAGAGTGTATACATGATTGTATATAAACTCTACGTACATATCATGTAGTGTATATGCAATTTTAGGCAGTATAGTACATGTAACTGAGTGCACGGTGGTTATTTTTGCCGATATATACATACATATAGTAGTATGAATATATTGATACATTTGTACGTGTATTCTATTGTGCAACCTTAATAATTTTATCTGACGCACCTTTCTGAAAACTTTGTTTATAGATTTATTTTCTTCAAAATTTAATAAGTAACAACTTTTACAGTTTTAAAATATGTATACTTGTACTTCTTAATTATAAAAAAAATGTGAAAATAAAATGTGAGTACTCCAGACTGTATCAGTGATTTAAGTAGTAGTTAAAAGTATTTTTTCTGGTTTTAGGAATATACAATCTAATGTATGAGAGGGCAGTTTGTTTTTAAAATAAAATAGGTAGGATATCATCAAACTGATATAATATCAATATGTACATAGAATGATTGGTTTATTTACAATCATAAACAATGTCTCATCTTGTCAAATTGAATGCTACATTTAAATATTTTCTTGATGATTCACTGATTACAGTGTATAATTAACCAACTGCATGAGTGCAAAAATTTTTTTTATATTTTGATTATCAGTTGAATTATTTGCTTTCTTTGTTTAATTTACCCGGTCAATAAATACGAGTGGTCATTGGCCTATATTGGCGGTGAAAGATAATACATGAGAAGTACTAGTTACAAGATACATATAAAATTTTATTTGTTACCTTATGTATTTTGGTGGTTTTATTGAAACATAATCACAATAAGAAGTTTTCCCTACAGATATTACATATAGAAAATTTTTGAAAGAAAAATTACTCGTAACGTTTTCAGTGATTATGTTTCTAAAATATCCCCGTCTGAGATCATTATGCATAATTTTAAAAAAAAGTCTACAATTTGATTTTATTTTGGTTTGAAAAACAGCTTGATTGAAGTCGGTATACATATATATCATTTCACAAACTAAACAATGAGATGAAATTTAACAATTAATTTTAATACATGTATTCTTTTATCAATATCATAAAAACGGCGCAGAAACATATATTAATTATCTTGGTATTTGGGCGTGAATCTAAATTTCAATTAAGTTTGCCTCAACTTATAATAAAAAAAAACCTAAACAAGGACAAAAACACGATCAGATTAGGTTGAAAGCTTTATTTACCAACAGTTTTCCATAGTCAGATGATTAGAAAATTGATTATTTTCAGTTACCCAAGCTAATACTGCTTTAATATAACTTTAGTAATACTAAAGTGATAAATGTATGCATTTTCATTCATGTTCAATGCATTCTCTATGATTAATGAAACATATTGAGATAACGAACAGTATTCAAGATTTAAAAAAATCCATAAAACAATACAATACAGGAGCAGAGCAGACAAAAATCTCTTAAAGAACCTGACTTTAAAATTTGTTTGATGTTATGGATTAACTGTAGAATTAGAATGTTTTTTTTTTTCTTAAAAAAATTATTATTTTTGTATTTAACCCCGTCCGCTTTTTGATTTTCACATTTATAATAGCCTTTTTGAGAAGTTTGGCAAATTTGTTAAAAGTTTTCACGTACGTTCCCTACAAAATGTGCCTGATAAAAAAGAAATCGTCAACAACAACCAAATCCGGGACCCTCGGGAGTCGGAAAGACTAGATTTACCGCTTGCCCAGAAAACGTCGTACAACTTACTTATTGCAACATACCCAAACAAGATGGCGCCAAAAACAAAAACACAAGTCGCAGGGGTGTGTTTATTCATATCCTTAGTTTTGTACCTTCTTTGGAAATTTTGTAAGTATTTTTTATTGTTTATATTCCTAGAGAGAGTGAGAGTGAACCATTCCGACATAGCTGAAGTTTCTTCAACTTATCCAATTGATCGTAATTGGTCATTGTGTACAATTTTAAAATCGCGTGCTTGACTTTTATTATAACAAATGCTCTGTAACACATGTAATTGTTTCTGAAATAAATATTTAACTCATAATATGATAATAACAAGGTATCAAACTCCGAATTACACGGACTACCACCCTCCCCAGAATAGAGGAATTTGACCATTCTCTCTCCAGAGTTGTCGTTCCCGATTCTCTCCCACATACACCTCTGTCAACGCTTGTTATACAAGATTCTTGGGAAAATAATTGAAAGTTGTGTTAATAATCGTTATTTAGATATACAGTGAAGTCACCAATTCCGGGTCACTTAAAGGTGTTTCATTGATATTTTTCAAAGTCAACATATTTATACTTTATGCAATATAGGCCTACATGTATGTATTGAAAGTACAGATAGTGAGTCATCCAAATGTCTTATTTGAGCTGTAATCATTCTGATTGATTTCTGAATTAAAACTAAATGGATGTGATATACTTTTGAGCTATTATTGTTTATTTATCTAGAGCTTTTATATCAGCCTTGCTGTGGCGAACAAAAACAAAAGTGGCCCTTTAACAAAACAGATTCATCTGTGTCTTTAATGCACACGTTTCATAATTTTGTTCGTGGGATGATTTTTCCAGTTGATTTTCAAAATGTTGTAATTAATTTCAGACAGAAAGACCAGTTCTTCATGACCAGTGTATTTATTAAGTTTTTTACGCTTTAATTTTAACAATATGGCATAAAATGCACAGGAGTGACCTGGAATTGGAGATGACCCAGAATTGGCAACTTCACTGTATTTCTTATTGGAAAACATTATTTATTTTAATTTCTTCCACCTCAAAGGGATTTTTTAATAAAGATTTTAAATTTTACTCCACAAAATAGTTCCTAAAAAACTTTGAAAATAAGTCGTTCTCAGGGATTATAGATTTAAAATAAATGATGAATTATCATCTTTATCGATAATTAAAATAATTTTAAAATTATCATTTCAATTTCAAATTTTTGCAGAATAAATTTTGTACAAGATCTTGTACAACAAGCATTGACAGAGATGTTGTGAGTGTAGCGGAAGACAACTTTGGATAGAGGAATTTCAAATTCCTAAGAGTTGTGTCGTCATAACGCTCATTTTTCCCAATTTGTCCTTTGCAAGTTACATGTACCTGTAAATATTTTTAATCTTCAAAAGTTATTGGACAATTTTGATCTGTACCTGTATTGCCAAAGTATGAGGCAAAATGAAAAACCAGGGACCTATTATTATATACCAGTATATATGTCCCTGGAAAAATATAATGAACATATTCATACAGATTTTATTTTTAAGATACTGACCCATAAAGTTGGGAAGGTTAATGAGGGAAAACAGTGCCTTTCGCCGGTTGATCCGGGATTGATCCCCCAAAGGGGAATAAATTTCGTAAATGTGAAAGTAATCTTTTGCACTCATTTGTAAACACTTTCAGCAGGTCCAGTCCAATTATAGACTATTTCAACTTGCGTAGCTATTACATGTAATAGCTACCTAGGTGTTTAAACTTTCTTGAAGAATATGTAGCTACTTTTATATACTTTAACCTGTCTTCCAATATATGATTAAATAATAATTACAGTGCATCTTAGAAACAGGTCAAACTTGGTATTTGTCATGATCTTGGGGTGCGCCGATTAAGCCAAAAAGAACCCAAATGGACTCAAATGGAAATCAAATGGACCCAAATAGAATATTAAATTTAATCATATTCTCAAGTTGTAACTTATTTAGAATATTGAAAAAAATGAACTTCAAAAAAGAGAATATTGTAATATTTCTAATTTATTAAATTGTATTTTAAAATATGATTTTTTTTTTCTATTTGTAATAACTTTTGCACATCATTTAATACAAAATTGAAGTACATTGTACATGTATATACATTGTAGTTTTCATGGATGGTGGTCATAGGAACCAAGAGGGGGGGGGGGGGGGCACAGGAGGCCGTGCCCCCCTCCCATCCCAATAATTTTGCCGATATATATATAATACTACAAAAAACATTTCATCTTGAAATGCTTGAGCATATGTTGAAAAAAGTTTTTTAATGATTTGTGAGACATGTTGGACTTTGTTTTGATCTTAGATTTCAGAACATGAAGTTGAATGTAGTTTTGATGCAAAATGGTAAGTTAGAAAGCGATCATTTTTTGTCAAAATTTTTGTCAGTATGACTGCATTATGAAATTTTGTGCTCACTATATTGCACTGTTCCTGTGTTTCGTAACAAAGTGCAAGTAAAACAAAAAGTAGGTAAAAATAGAGACCAGGTGTAGGTTTAAATACCTAGGTAGCTATAAGTAGCTACATGTACGTAGGTAGAAATAGTCTTTGGCCTGGACCTGTTCAGAGGAAATGCTCAGGCAAACTATTACCATTGTCTTCTACGATAATTTGTTTGCAAAACCAAATATGGCATACTTGTGTTCATTTATTTTTTCATCTCCACAAACAGCCTCAAAACTCTTCTCTCCAAGGTGCTCTGTAAACCATAAACTATGTCAAAGAACTACGAACGATAGTATTGTTCTCCCGCCTACCTGTAAGTCAATTCTCAAAAGTTAACATATTCGAATGATTTTCAAAATTGTTATAGATATTTATATATATTTTCATAAAACGTTACTTATTTGGGATACCAAAGAGAGATAACTCTATAATTTTGGTAAAACTTGTGTTTTTTACTATAGAAATCAACGGAAAACGGAAAATATTTTTAAAACTTTCCCCCCGCGTGAAACAAAAATTCCTTTTTACAGGTAATATGGACTGTCATTTTACAAATTTATGCCAAAGCTTTTTGTGTTTGACAGGGGGTGGAGCATAAATTATGTTTATAGACAAAAAACGGGGGAAAAAATGCTGATTTTTCACCAATTTTAAAGCTATTTACAACTAAATAATTGTATTTTATTAACTTACATATGTTTTATTTAATTGCGTAAAACATAACAAAAGATATGAGATACATTTTATCATATTTCAAAATATAGTGATTCTTGAAAGTTCGATTTCACTAGAAAATATTGTCTACCCCCCTTTTTTCAAGAGCTGGAATTAATGTTAATCTACTATCTAGCGCTGGAATTAAAATGATTAATCAATTACCATAGAACTGTTCTTTGTATTAAACAAAGATTTAATGGCCAAATTGCCATTAATATTGAATTTAATGGGTGCAAAATGTAGGCGGGAATCGAGTTAGAGTTTGTAGTTCTTCTATACCAGTGTTTATGGAAAATGCAGCTAAAACATTGTAAAAGGAGGTACAAGGGAAAAGCAATGAAAATACTGTTTTGTTGTTGGATACAGAATTAAGTTTTTTCAAATTCTTTTTTTTTTCTCTCAAAATATTAGGTCAGGTCAAAGAAATAAAAAGAAAACAAAAGATTTTTATCAATTGAATATGATACAGAAATGCAAGTATATGCACATGATGTACACGAAAGACTAAGGAGATATATATTGTTACATCATCCCATACATAAGAACCACAATGATATCTTTCCAATGTCAATGTATGATAAGTATATTATAAGTGCTCAAATTATGATTTCATGAGTACCCGAAAATTTACATCAAAAACATTCAAATTAGCAACTAAAATACCCTAAATAATTATTTTATACTTGTAACATTTAAATTTATCCTACACTTGCCTTTTGTTTAGTTGTATATACATGTAACTGTACAAAATTTTTTTACTAAATATTGATCACAAAATGTTTGACTTCCTTCTTCAAAGAAGATCGTTTCAGATATATAAAACTTAACAGGATACCCCAAACTAAGCTGTTATAACTATTCTTACTCACATTATTGTGAATAAAAATTGTCGACATTGTATTTAAACAATATACTGTACCAATATTCTTTCTGTTTTAAGATCATGTTCAACAAAAACTAAGGAAAAATCAACTAGAAGAGGACTCCTATCTGTCAAGCCTGATAAATAAATTTTGGAAGTCCGAAGAAATGAAATCTACAGAGTTTTCATCAGTTACTTCAGAATTTTGGAATTCCATTTTAACTGACTATGAAATAGTGAAAGTATGGACCATTGATTTCATCTGCTTATTCATTCCAAGGGGAATAACTTCTATAATAGCTAGAACTATACAAGTTATATGTGCTGCATTGTTAATTTTCATCATTGTGACCAGATACTGTGGATATGTTTTCTGGAGAATGGGAAAACAAAAAGAAAGTAAACCCAGGAATAAAAGGAAGAAAAATTCCATTTCTTCCTTTTTTGATCACCTGACATTAAGGAGTGTTCTGGGATTCTTAACAATCTTGACTTTGTTGATTAGCATCCCATTTGAGTACATGAGACTGTATCAGGAACAAGTTGCCAAAAAAGTTGCTGTGATGAAAGTTGTAAGTAGCTATGGACTTTAAAGCATATGTTTAATATACAATTATAGCCTTTTGATGAGGTCAATCCCTTGATATATAGACCTTAGAGAAAGCATATATCAACCGAGCACGAAGTACGAGGTTGATATGCTTTCTCTAAGGTCTATATATCGAGGGATTGTACCGAATCAAAAGGCTACAATTGTTTTATTATTTTTTATCAGTTGTTAAGAAATATCTTAAAATCCTTCTTTCTAATACTCAGTACCTTCTCATACAAGACATTGTTATGTCATTGCATTATGACGTCACAATAATAACAAGAGGCCCAGGGGCCACAGCGCTCACCTGAGCACATCACCTAGGAAAAAACACATATCAGATCAGACCTGAAAGTTAACTTAAGCTGGGGGGGGCCTTGAATTTTAACCCCCAAGGGGATCATAATTTGAACGAACTAGAATCTACTTTACCTGAGGATGATTCCATACAAATATAACTAATCCTGGCTTTGAAGTACTTGAAAAGAAGATTTAAAAAGGTTTCCCTATATATTTCTATGTTAAACTTTGGTCGGCCATTTTGGCCACACCCTTACCCCGTGGTCATGACTTGAACAAACTTGAATCTACACTACCTGAGGATAATTTCACATGAGTTTCATCTTTCCTGTTTCAATGGTTCTTGAGAATTTTTAAAGATTTTTCCTATATATTCCTATGTAAAACCTTGATCGGCCATTTTGGCCCCGCCCTACCCCCGGGGGTCACTGACATTACCTGAGGATGAACATGAGCTTCATCTTTGCTGGCCCAGTGGTTCTTGAGAAGAAGATTTTTAAAGATTGTTCCTATATATTCTTATGTAAAACTTTGATCGGCCATTTTGGCCCCGCCCTACCCCCGGGGGTCATGACTTGAACAAACTTAAATCTACATTACCTGAGGATGATTCCACATGAGCTTCATCTTTGCTGGCCCAGTGGTTCTTGAGAAGAAGATTTTTAAAGATTGTTCCTATATATTCTTATGTAAAACTTTGATCGGCCATTTTGGCCCCGCCCTACCCCTGGGGGTCATGACTTGAACAAACTTGAATCTACACTACCTGAGGATTATTCCACATGCGTTTCATCTTTCCTGTCCCAGTGGTTCTTGAGAAGAAGATTTTTAAAGATTATATTTTCTTCATGTCCGTGACCGTCCGTCTGTTAGCTTTTCTCTTGTCCGGCTCATAACTTGAATACTATAAGGCCTAGAGTTATCAAACTTTGTCAGCTGATACATCTTGGGTAGAAGGTGTGTCGCGCACAAAAAGTAGGTCGCTCTGACCTATAATTAAAAAGTTATAGCCAAATATGGAAAAATCCTGTACGGTCCATAACTAGAAAACTATTAGACTTAGAATCATCAAACTTGGCCACTTCATGCATCTTAGGTAGAGGGTGTGTCGCGACCTATTTCAAGGTCACTGTGACCTTTAATTTAAGTGAGATTTTAAAAAGAAATGTCTTTTTTTTCTCTTCATTTACACACTCCAAAAAATGTAAAAGTATTGCACTATTCTTATTAGAAAAATGTTAAATCAAGAAAATACTTATTTTTTTTAGCATATACTTGACAGCAATCTATAACAAATGTAATGTATGTTAAAGAAATTCCACCACTCCCATGAGTTTAATTATCAAGCACTGGTCAAGAAGAATTTTGATAACAGAAAATTGCATGTCAAATTAGAGAGAGAAATTAATGAGTTTAGTGTGAGGAAGAGCATCGGTGCTATCTATATCCCTTGAGTATTGGGCCAAATGGGTAATCCTGTTGGATTAAAAATAGCTCTTGTTGGCTAGCATAAGTTTTAAAATGAATTTGATGAGAAGTAAATAAAACTAATTTGATTCTGCATAATAAACTATTTTGATATTATGTTCTATTTCACCAGTTCAACCGAACATAAATTATTTATAAATTCAAAACTCCAACACATGTTTAGGAACGGCATCGCCTGCGTCTGTGCAACAGACATTTATTATACATAAATGTTACAAATAATATTCTTCTTTGAAACAACATTCTACAAAATAAAAAACGAAAATATTAAATCATATCAGATATATACATTATAAAGTTGGGTGGGTGGGCCTTGTTGCACTAAGCGCAGCGAAACCTCGAATAACTTCTAATTCTTAATACCTGGACACAGGTAAACTACCTGTTCCGACGATTTCATTTGAACTCATATCAATCGTTAAAATCCAATCAAATCTTAGATACTATAAATACTTTCTAAACACGTAAACAAACAACACCACGTGTTTCCGATACCAATTATAAATATATTTACATAATATTGTGAACTTTAAAAAACTAATTTTATGGGGGTGGGGTGGAATCAGCATGTCCATATGAATTGCATATTAAAACCTGTCTGCCATTAAATCTAACAAAAAAATCATTCAGGTTTTATATGTTTTAAAAATGCTTTATGGTAGATAGTGCAGATTCAATAATCTCTTGGGAGTAATGAGTAGACAAGCATCCAGTTAAAGATTAATTAATGTGTTCAATGCAGCAAGGCTATAGCTGTCTCAATCATTTCTTCAGAGCATTATCTTAACTGACAGTGTATCCTTTGGGAATTAGACAGAAGAGCTGTTGGTCATTTTATATTTGATGGCCAGCCTTTTATTTTCAAAATTAATTAGGTATAGATTAAGTTGTTAAGACTAATTTGATATTTTAATATGATAGGCATTTGGCAAGGTCTAACACAACCAGTATAGAAATCTATGAATGATGCAATAGTTATAATTAATGCTACACCACAGGATATGGATAAACAAATTTTTTAAGGAATTGAAAAATCATGGAAATCTAAAATCAAGGTTGACATGATTTTCTTGCACTTTTAATTGTTTAAGATAATTGTAATTTTTTGACGGGCGTATCATGCTGTGGCGTGGCACTTTATTCCTATATATTCCTATGTAAAACTTGATCGGCCATTTTGGCCCCGCCCTACCCCCGGGGGTCATGACTTGAACAAACTTGAATCTACACTACCTGAGGATGATTCCACATGAGTTTCATCTTTTCTGGCCCAGTGGTTCTTGAGAAGAAGATTTTTAAAGATTTTTCCTATATATTCCTATGTAAAACTTTGATATTTTGGCATGACTTGATTGTTACACTACCTGAGGATGATTCCACATGAGTTTCATCTTTCCTGGCCCAGTAGTTCTTGAGAAGAAGATTTTTTAAAAATGCCAATAATTTTTCTCTAATTCATGATTATCTCCCCTTGGAAAAGGGCGTGGCCCTTCTTTTGAACAAACTTGAATCCCCTTCACCCAAGGATACTTTGTGGCAACTATGGAAGAAAAAGGCCCAGTGGTTCTTGAGAAGAAGATGAAAATGTGAAAAGTTAACGACAACAACGACGACGACGACGACAACAACGACGACGACGACAGACAACGGACAAATTCTGATCAGAAAAGCTCACTTGAGCCTTCGGCTCAGGTGAGCTAAAAACAAGCTGCAGTATCTGTTTTTAGAAACATCCAGTCTATAAAGACTATTGTGATGTCAGTACTATTGTTGCTTCACAGAAGAACGTTTCCAATTTTAGAAACAGCAGGTTTATAAATTTTTAAAATAGAAACATCCAGTCTGTAACACTTTTTATACTTGATCATGTGATCCAGTTTGAGCCAATCAGATAGTTGGAACAATAAAGAAAAATAATAATTAACTTTAATGACAATTAATTTAATACATTTTAATCTGCAACAGCTTTTATCAAACCTAATATTCTACATGTACTTCTGCACATGCAATTTATGTATATTAACTTTTTTAGTGTGATTAAATTACATTTTTGTGGTGACTCAGTTTTTCAAGACAGGTTTTAACAATGATTTTTTTTATATTAATGTATGTTCTTTTTATCCTTTAGGGTGCTCCCAGAGAGTGTGTTCCTCAGGAAATGAACTTCTTGGAGAGTCTGAAATACTGGATAAATTGGGAGCTGTCCTGGGTCCACGATCCATGTGAGAAGTACCATAAGGCCATGCTTGTGGACCCTTTGTGGGAAATCTCACCACTGCTCGTAAGCTACATATTATGTCAAAATGTCTTCATATTTTTCTTAACGAGCAATTACTAGGCAATTGAATTCAGCTTTGACCAAATGGGTTTATGTTTACTTTATACCATTTATAAATGAATAAACAGAGGATTACATAAATTTGAGCTGGAAATATTTACTTATTTAATTTTGGAAAGAGAAAATATTAATCTTAGGTTTTGTATTTCTAAATGTGAGAATGATGACATCAGAACAAATGTTTCATACATTAAAAATATAAAATATGAAATTAACAAAATTTAAAGAACTTTTTTAAAATTTATTTTATAGGTCCTATGGTCAGCTCTTGTCAGAGGCATTCTTCATCCTATTGAACTTTTCTTCTCCAGCATTGGGAAATCTTTCAAACTGTTCTTCAGTGAAATCCCAGCTCAGTGGCAGCCATTCATGTTTATTCTGATTGTTTTTGTTTTTGTTGTTGTCATGGTGATGAGTTGTAGCTACAGGATCTCCCTACCTTTTATCCTCAAGATAGAACCAAAGACCCCAGTCACACAAAAAACTACAAGCAGGGTGCAACTGTGTGCTAAAAAGCAGGAGAATGCTCTGTGTAGTGAAAAAGAGAAGACTTTAACTTGTAAACCTGTTAAGGATTGTAATTTGGATAATTAGAGAAGTTTAAAATCCAAGAATGTTAGTATTACATGTAATTTATCATATCATTGACAATGAAATTCAGGTCCATTTTATATACGTGACTAGATATGTTTTTAAGTACTACAATATTTGTTTTATGAATTCTTTGGGGATTATTTTTATAAATAAATGAATTTTTAGAACAGATATTTACAAAGAAGATTTGTTGTTTTTGAACATATGTCAAGAGAGAGATTGAGAGTATGTTGAGACAGAGTATTTTAGTTTCATAAAAAACTTAATAAAATGGATAGGAAGTTCTTGAGAGTTCTTTAAATCATTTCCCCTTGCATGCTTAGGGCTTTTAATCATAATATTAATAATATCATAAAAATTAATAATTTAATTAATAATATCATAATAAGGACCATGAGTTATGAAGAAAGCAAAACAATAAACATGCTCCAAATTCCATATTAACATCACAGATTAGGAGCATGCAGACAGAGACCTCTAAAAATTTCAGAGGTGGGATAGAATGCCATGGAGGAGTGAGCATCCCCTGTTAATCTGTCACACTTGTTGTGTGTTCTTTGTAATGACTGGACAATTGGAAAGCCAATTTGAAAGCAAATTCAGTAAAAATAATGTACTAACAAATTGTAAGAAAACATCAGTCAACATTTGATATTACAATGTAATAGATTGTATTTGCTGCATGACAAGATTATTATCTACAAGGTCACTATTAGTCATATTCATCACATTGATATGCAAACATTCTCATACAATGCAGTTTTATTTTTTAAATATAATTATTGAAAAGTATTTAGTAAATAGTATAAAACAGTTTATGTGACCCAGTATAGTTTTGAGGACTGGGTTTTAAGAAAACTTTTTAACAAAAATGGGCTCAGCATGTGGAATTTTAAGTTGGGACAGGAAAGTTGAAAAACAATTTGTCTTGTTTAAAAAATGAAAATGTTTTTTTTTTGCTTCATTATGGTTAACAGCTGTTTATACATGAAGAATACAAAGACAGCTCAGAATTCAATGCTTGTATTAGCTCACATGAGCCTAAAGCTCAAATGAGCTTTTCTGATCACCAGTTGTTTGTTTGTAAACTTTTCACATTTTTAACTTCTTTTCAAGAACCACTGTGTCAGTTTTAACAAAAGTGGGTACAAAGTATCCCTGGGTGAAGAGATCAAATTCTGAGTGTGAAAAAGAAAGTTCAAGCCTCCTACCAGAGGATATAATGAAGAAAAAGCAAAAATATACTAGTAGGGTGAGGTCACTAAAAGACCTTCTCAAGAATCACTTGACTAAAGGAAAGCTGAAAATATATTAATTAAAGTGGAAGCTTCTCTGAGGTAGTGCAGATTCAAAATTGTTCAAATCTGGGCACTTTTAGGCAGGGTGGGGTCCCAATAGGTAGTCATAGTTTTTCATTGAAAATTTGAAATACATGTGTATATAGGAAAAAAATTGAAAGAACCATTAAAGTTGATACAACATATGGTAGCTTTCTTTATAGGTAGTATTTTTTCTAAACTATTCAAATCAGGGCCCATGGGGTAGGGTGGGGCCACAATAGGGGATCAAATTTTTCTGATATAGAACAGAAGGGCCAAAGTGACTCAGGTGAGCGTTGTGGCCCAGGGAATCTTGTTTTATCACACAGTTAACCCCTTTTTACAATTTTAAAATTGTTCAGCACAAATTTTTGTCCTTATAATGTAATATAACCGTAACTGGCAATATACGTGTATACTGCATGCCCTTAACAACTGAAATAATGTATGTACATGAATTAGTATTACATGTGAAAACCTGTGCATTTTCAGTATACCGGTATTTTTAAAATACAAATGTTTCATTGTCTCAAAGTGCCATCCCAGACCCTTTTCTAGCTGAACTGAGAGTGCTTATACTTCGCTCAACTGCACTAAAAAGGAAAGCAAAACAAAATAGATGTAACATCACACATTTATGCGAAGTAGAATAGAGTCTCACTTTGTATATAACGGGTATAGATCACTTACCCTGAAGCAATACAAAACTTATATTAATGAACCTGACGTAGATCTCTGTTTTGCACCTAGAAACTTTTGCCTCTCCCTTGTAGGTTTTTTCCAGAATAAGATCAAATAAAGGTAAATAATTATTATGTATTTTTAAAACCTTTTTTTTTTTAATTTACTGATTTTAAAAGTTTGATAAGAAAAGTACGAAAGAATTATTTTTTCTATTGATATAATATTTTTATGCGCTAAAAATCAAACATGAGTAACAACACATGATACACATGTACATGTACAGTGTATAAACAAAATGAACTGAAATGAGATGCAATTCCCATATTTATCAGTTTCTGTACTCTTTCTCTGAAGAATGAACTTCCGGAAAGTGGTCCTAATCTACGTTCTAATATTCGCCTGGTTTATGGTATACCACTTGGTCTTCAGTCAGACGGAAATCACCTACAATGTGGGGCCGCAGTTGACCGTGGGACCAATGGGGGAGACGTACTACTCTCCTCCCCTAATGGGAAACTACTATCAACCTATGATGCCTAGCAGCTTGGTGGGATCTGGTAACCTCGTGGGGATCGGTCTTGTGGGATACTTGATCTGGACCTGTAAGTCTAAGTGTATATTAAATGTTTAGTCAAAACTATCATTATTTAGGATTCTTGACAAACAGTAGAGAGAAGCAAAACGATGCCGGGCAGCTAGGAAGCGCCGATATTGATAATGTGAGGGACAGAGGGTATATTACAATTGGTGAATTAAACACATGCTAAAGCTATTATTTACTTTCTATTCATGTTTTTTTCTGACATCTTAGGAGAGAGAACTCTATATTAGAAGGGGGTTTTCAAATTTTTATAAGGTGTAGGTTATCATTTCAAATTATGACTCTGAAATCATAAAAAATAATACGAACTAATCAAATTGTATCTTTTCCCATAGCTGGATCCACAAGTTTCAAATTCATTTTTTTTTAATTTTCGACAAAAATATCCAAAAAGTTGAACTTGAAAATTTAGAATGTAACACATTTGATGTCATCTAAGTATATAAACCGTCCACATTTTTATATATAAATATTTTTAGTCACCTTAATAATTGTAGCAAAGCTTTCAGTTTATGCGTGGACTGACAATGAGTACATATTAAAAGCTTACACTTACAATCTTTAATGATTTAATTTAGAGCATGATACTTTGTTTTTCATGTATGATTGGTATATGACCTGTGCAACTTATTAGAACTAATTTTTCCTATCACTTTTAAATGCTGCATAGTTTTCAGTCTGAAGATCTTCCACAATCATTAGTTCAATTTAACTGATGACAATCGTGAATTGATTTTGATACATATACAATGAACCAATGATAACTTTGTATTTAATTATTTTTTATTAATATTCTTTCAGTATTGAAATTTCTGATCCCGATCATATTTATATCTGCCATAGGACAGTCCTCAAGGTAAGTTGCATGTTTATTCAGTTTGGCTGAATACTACATTAATAAATATATTAGGAATTTTGAAATAAATTATATCTTCACAAAGTATATGTAGCATGTACACATTCGACCTTTTTTTGGCAAATTAGGTCACTGTATGGACCATTAAATGTACGATTGATTGATTGATTGTATATTGTTTAACGTCCCTCTCCAGAATATTTCACTGATATGGAGACGTCACCATTGCCGGTGAAGGGCTGCAAATTTAGGCCTATGCTCGGCACTTACGGCCTTTGAGCAGGGAGGGATCTTTATCGTGCCACACCTGCTGTGAAACGGGGCCTTTTATACGGTCTCATCCGAATTTAGTCGCCTTTTACGACAAGCAAGGGGGTACTGAGGACCTATTTTAACCCGGATCCCCACGGGGCTTAAATGTACGAAATGTTCACTCTAAAAGAGTTGAAATTCTTGTATCATTAACTTACCAGCCAATAGCCTGCTTTTGTTCTTTTTTGTGACAAATTTAGTTTTTTTTTAGAGATTGCTAAGAAGAACTTGCTCGTGTATATCAAATTAACTCTATATACATGTATGAGATAATGCTAGGAGGGAAGTTGAAACATAATAAAATGGCACAATAAGTTTATTATTCTTTGCTTTATGCTATTTGAAAATTTCATTCAAGTCTTAATTCAATTTAAAAAAAAACGGCCAACGTCAGAAATAACAAAGGTTTATTTCAGCAGTGGATTCTATTTCGCATTCCATTTTGTTTTGCTGTGCAAAAAATAACAACCTTTATTGTGCTTGCTTATAGACCTAAGAATAATGCTTATTTTTTACCATTTTTACAAAGGCTATTAAAATTTTGAATTAAACTTCAAACAATTTATTTATTTATTTTAAAAAAATTACTCTATACATATATATACATGTAAAGACTTGTGTGACTTTGAGAATGCCATATGTATATGCATCTGACTGAAAATTAAGAATTTTCTATTAGCTCTAACTGCAGTGAAGTAATTATTTTGCCCCCGGATCGAACGATCCAGGGGATATATAGTTTTTACCCCTTCTGTATGTTTGTCCGTTTGTCTCTCTGTCTGTCTGTCTGTCTGTCTGTTGTCAACTTTAACCCAGCCCATAACTATTGAGTGGTTGAGGTTATGGCTTTTATATTTCCCAGGTGTATTACTTGTGACAAGACCTTCCAAAGGGTACCACCAGATTTGACCTCTTGACCTTGGAGTTTGACCTACTTTTACATAAAAATCTCACACTTTAACCTTGAAGATACATGTAAGAGTTGAAGATAGGGCTTTTATTCCTCAAATGTGTGTTCATTGTGACAAGACCTTCCAGCTGGTATAATTTTTTTTTACCTTTTCCTAGTAGGAGTTTGACCCACTTTAAAAAAAATAACCTTCCTTTTGGTTACCAACACATTTGACAATTTGACCTTGACCTTTGGTCGCCATGAGCTGTCATACAGGGGCATCAGTGTTTCACAAACACATCATGTTTTTATTATGCATTTTTGAAAGTAAATCAGAAATAATTACATAGAACTGAATTTTTCAGAAACTCAGACTGATGGTCATCGAAGATCACTAAAATAGAAGTGATGTCAAAAGTTCTTTGGGGGTAACAGCGTTCACTTACTTACTGTGAAACAAACAAATAAAATTTGAATTTAAATATCACAGGGAAAAATTGTTTGACTGTTATTATTTAGTGTTATACCTCAAACTAGTACTGAAATAAAAATTAAAATATTGTCCATTTTTATGCCAGTACCTGCAGCTAGTTACATTATAATCGATTGTGCGTTGTTTATTGTCCCATCCGAGAATGTTTCACTCATACTGTATTGGGTATTATACATGTATACTCGTATATTATATTAAAATTTTTCCGATACCTTATAGACACACACTCCAATTTTAAATTAAAGTGAACCTCGTTGACCCATCTAGATTCCTGCAAGATTTAATATCTAAATTAGCTTCTCTTGTATCAGTTCATGTCTTGCATATTAACTATACATGTACCTTGACTTCAGATAAATCTTTTATTGAAAAATACATGCATGTACTTACTTAAATTTTGTGCGGGAGTAAATTAGACCTGCAAGTAAATCACTCCACGTACTTAATTGCACCGGAACAGATATCCTAGGGAGTTGTAGCCAAAAACAAGAAATGGGTTACTTTATTGCATTGATTGTTGTAATATTGAAAAAGACGGGTTTACTTATAGCAGAAAAACCTCCCACTATCTCTCTCTCTACTTCGCTTTCTACTCTCTCCCCACACTCTCTACCCACTTTCTATTCCTCACTCTCCCCTTCTCTCCCCTTCTCTCCTCTCAATCTCCCTATCTCTGTCCCTCTCTCTATCCTCCATCTCTCCGGATTTATTTATAGCAGATAAACCTCCCACTCTCTCTCTACTTCCCCTTTCACTCCCCCACTCTCTCTACCAACTTTCTCTCTCCTCTCAATCTCCCTCTGTGCTCCCCTCTCTGTCTTCCCTCTCTCTGCCCCTCTCTACTCTCTCTCTCTGTCTCCCCATCTCTCTTTCCTCTTCCCACACTCTCCACTCTTTCTCTTTCCTTTCTCTCTCCTCTCTCTTGCTACCCTATCTCTCTCCACTCCCTCTCCCTCCACACACTCTCTCTCCCTCCACACACTCTCTCTCCCTCCTCACACTGTCTCTCCCCACACACACTCTCACTCCACACTTTCTCTCTCTCTCCCCACACTCTCTCTCCACACTCCACTCTCTCCCTCCCCACACTCTCTCTCCTCTCTCTTGCTACCCTATCTCTCTCTCTCTCTCTCTCCCTCCACACACTCTCTCCCTCCTCACACACTCTCTCCCCACATACTCTATCTACACACTTTACACTCTCACTCCCCACTCTCTCTCCCTCCCCACACACACACTCTATTTCCCCACACTCTCTCTCTACTCTCTCTCTCCCAACTTGCACACTCTTTCTCCACTTTCTCTCTCCACACTCTCTCTCCCCCACACCCTATCTCTCCCTCTCCACTCTCTCTCCCTCCCTCCACACACTCTCTCTCTCCTCACACCCTCTCTCCCTTCCCACTCTCTCTCTCCCTCCACACACACACACACACACACACACACACCCTCACACTCTACCTGTTTCTCTCTCTCCCAAGTTTCTCTCCACTTTCTTTCTCCCCCCTCTCTTCTTTATCTCCTCACTCTTTCACACTCTCTTTCTTTATTTTTTGGTACTTTCGACTCAGTTCTTATCATTGTTTTCACTTCTCACAATTTGTGAAATAAACTATATATATGCATGATACATGGATTTTTCAAAGTTTTGCAAAATGAACAAAATAGAAAAAGACTTATTATAGAATAAATGAAATTTTTTTATCGTAATTATAAAAAAAAATAGAGAATGTTTGTTATTGATTTTTTTATTTTTAATTATATGAAGCATAATTGTTTGTTTTTGCAAAAAATGAATGTATTTTAAAATTATAAGGGCGATAACTTCAAAGAAATTTCTGTTTCCTAGTTTTCAATTTGAACACTGCGTAATATGTTTGCGTATTTAATTTCATATGCTTGAAGAACAGCATTTAAATGCTTACTAGCATGTAAGTTGAAATTGCAGCTTGAATTCCCAGTTACACTGTAGATATTATTTTTTTTACCGTTTTGAAAAGTAGATATGAGCCTAATGTCCTAGATTATGCACATGCGGAGAGGTGGTACATTCTTTATTTGACCTCGTATGTAATTAGGGTTTGACATTCACAATCCTTTTTATTCAAATGCCTACTGTTTATAACACTACAGGCAATCTTTGCTTGTTGCATGGCTCTACTCTGCTATATGTAACCAAAGCACTCCGCTTGACATTTTTGAATGGACAACTGATTAACCGTCAGGCCATCATAATAATTTGAGTACATGTTCACCTAATTAAAGGTCCTGGTCATGCTTCTGAGAAAATTAAAACCACCCAATTAAGCGACAAGGCCATTAATCAAAGAATGATTAGTAAAGCGAATTGTGGGCTTAAAAATTGTCACAAAGTTGAAGTCCCTCTGTCGCGCATAGGCTACGTGTATGTAACATTATAGAATGTGTAAATCGTATAACACTTGAAATATTAAGCATTTATTTCAATTCTCCATTTTCCAGCATTGATTTTTTAAAATTTCAAAACTCCTTTATTACTGCTTTTTAAATTATACCTGTTTTTTTTATTAATGTCCAGACTCTTTATAGTCGTCAGTATGGACCAGTTAACTCTCTTTTAGGGAAATTTTTGCTATCCGATTTTTTAAAATTAAAATCAAAACAAGCAGTTTTACTGGATTGGGAGGTAGATAAAATATACATGTTTTTTAAAAAGTGTGATTAATGTCCAGAGTGAAAGGCAATCAAGTGGAAATATTCCGCCCAGAAAATCTTGAGCCGTAGTTAAATTGATTGCACCTTACAAGTATCTGTGGCGGTATGGTATAGCATTAAAACCATATACATGTAACGCTATATTTCTGAAGTTAGCAGCAAATAGCTAAACGTAGAAGTTCAAAATTCATTGAAAAACCAAAAAATTATGTCTGCATACTTTATTTAAATGACAGGAGGAAGAATAATGAGAACCATACTGCAGCGTATAAATTGGAGATAAGGCAATCTTCTTAATTATGCCCCCTTTACCAATTAAAGAGTCCCGCTAAAAATCAGGAGACGCAGTTATTGCTAAGCTCATATTTCTATGGGGGTCATTTTCAACGTGATTGGAGTCGTAGAATTACCGACGTGGAAGGATTTATAAGGATATTAAGCATGTTAGGAAAGTTCATTCTATATTTTTCTGCTATTTCCTGTTCGCAGAGACAGAGTCCATTATTGCTACTAATGGATGAAGCGAAAAGGGGAATGGTAGGTATTAAAACAGATGATTTATATGCAGAAAAATCAAAGATACAGCATATTTGTTATTTACTATTCAAAGTCAATCGACGTTTAAACACCAGCAGCAAAAATTGTAATAAATTAAACACACATTTCATACATGATATACTTACATGTAGCTGCAGAAATATAGCGTACGGTTATTTGTATATTTGTCTGAACATAATGGTCAAAGACAAATATATAAAACCATGAAGCTACAGTTCTGCAGCTAGATTTACGTATAATCTATGCATTTCTTTTTTTATTCAAGATCTGACGTTAACATATTTAGGACATGATTGTCCTACTTTTTATCATTAGGTATGCTGTCAATGTACATGTCTTGTGATTACTAATTAAAGACTATCATGAAAATTGCAATCTTATTTTCCTGAGGTACAACAAAATGAAACATGTACACATCATTATTGATACAAAAAGCTACACATTTAATCTACAGTTCAATTTCGCAGATGTAACTGTTGTCGTTAGAACAGCTGGTATCGTGCCATGTATAGTTTGAACGCTGAAACAGGATAACACAATCTGCTGTGCCAGTTCGGTCTGGGTTCCCGGGACCCCAGTTGGTGTATGTAAACTCCTGAGAGTGCCCTTCCCACATGAAAACCCCGTCCCGTGCAGCATCTGTTCCTCCTATCCAGAAATCACGTGTCTTTTACATCTAAAAAAAAACAATGAAATTTTTAGATGCAATTTCTTCTTCAAGGTTAATATTCATGTACACACCCCAACCTTAAGCGACTGAAACATTGCAGCCTTGCATGTACATGTATCTGTTCGCTTGTTATTACTTTGTGTATTATTTTTAAATTTTCGGTTTCTCAATGATTATAAAAATACTAGTACTTGTCATTGCTTTGAATATATTTAAATCAAAACATGTAAATTTCTTGATGATATTTGGTTGAAAGCATTGCTGATAAACGACAATGATGCAAACAATCTGTGAAGGAAATGATAATGAAAATAAATTTTATCAACTAACCTGTTAGTCCTTGGCCTCTTACGTAGTCCCGAATAAAAGTATCTTCTGCTTTAGTTGTGATTCTCAGATACTTCGAACTGCCCTGCTTTCTCTCGCACTGTCTCTACAAAATGGTAATTTTGTAAAGGAACATCCCTAAACTCAAAAGGATGGTGCAAACAAGAATGCTTGACAACGCTTTATTTGAAAGTAGACTAAGAATTTAAAAATATTAAACAATCCTTTTCTTATGTCATTTAAGTCAATTAAGTATCGATCATTTTGTTCATGTAATAAAATATTTCTCACTTTTCCGTGTGTCCAATTTCCGTAGTCGTACCCAAAGATATAACAGGATCTTTGAAATTGAATCCACCCAGCCGGACAACTGACTGAAGATGCTAAAAATAATACAGTGCAATTTCTTTTAGTTAGCTTTTCTGTCCATTCCATAATAACGATTTATTTATGGCTAGCCCTTTTACTATATCTTCGTAAAATTAAAAAAATATTTCAATAAGAGAGATATCTCTCTAGCATAGAGAGATACATGTATCTCTTTAGTTTATATAGAGATATCTCTTTGACTAATACAGATATTTTTATCCCTTAGAGAGAGAGATCTCTTTAAACAAAATATCTCTTTTTGTAAGAGAGACATCTCTTTTATTTAGAGAGATATCTTTATAAGATAGATAGATATATCTTTAAGCGAGAGAGATATCTCTTAAAGTTACAGCGATATCTCTTTAACAAGATTAAAAGAGATATCTTTCTTAGTTAGAGAGATATC